CTGCTAACCGCCCGTGTTAAAGTTTCTAAAAATTACCAGATGGAGAAAGCGCTTGCTGATAACCTTTCCCTACTCGTATGTTTTTTCTCTATCATTAGTTTTTTCTAAATAACTTTAAAGCATTTAGCTAACTGAATGTATATACAGATAATTCGTTCAATAAGTAGACGTGTTTTACTGCTTAGGCCTAAATATGGTCTTGTTTATTTTTTTCTTATTATATTTTCATGTTTTCCCAAAATATTTCTTATTCTTTCGGAAAGTAAATTCTCTTGCCTTGCCTGCTTTACCTTTCTATTTATTTTATTTTTTCATTTATTGACTTATAATTGTACAGTTGTTTCACTGCATTTTAGAAGTCCAAAAGTTGGAAGGATAGGTCAACTGCCTTGGAATTTATAGAATCTCGCCTTATTTCAATTGATGATTCAGATGCTTCATTGGTTCTCCGTATAGTTCAGGGGCTTATTCATGTAGGTCAATTTTGCTGCACTATTTTTATTTGTTACTTGCAGGTTTCCCCCATTGAGCGTTTTTTACCATATACTTATTTAGTGCATTTGCTCATTTACACTCGATGTAATGATTAATTTTTGGAAGGAAGCTCTTTTTGGTTTTCATACTATATAACTTAAATTTCCTCTTACATTTTGCTTTGGAATATTTATTTTGTTATGTTGGACAAACGCTAGTAAGGTTTATTTATTGTTTTAGCCATCTCCTATGTTAACGTAATTATAGAGTTATAATTTATATATATATATAGGATTCGAGTTTGAGTAATCCAGTTGATATGATTATCTACCTATCCTTGATGCTTGTTGATGAATTAAATATATTATTTACCTTTATGATCAGATTAAGAACGTATAAGCCCCCTTAGCACCAAATTGTGTTGTATTCTCTAACTGAATTATTTTATGAACTATGTTCATTTTAATATATACATCAAATATGCCGTGTTCTTGCTCAGTTTTTGCATTATGTCACATCATATCACTTTAAGTGTTAACTTATTACATTTTTGGCTTTATTTCTTTTGGAATAAATAAGACAAAATCTCGTTATATGAACATTTAAAATGTAATACAATCTCTTGACTTATGTGACTTGTTCCTCCGTTATTTCTTCAGATCGCTCCAACGCCAAGCATCTTGCATTATGGAATCTCTTATCATCATTTTATTATAATTTATTTTTACTTATGGCCTTTCACTATTATTAGTCATTATCATACTACTTCGAAATGTTTTTCATATCTCTTACAGGTTTTGGAACACGACAAACATTCGCAACTTGTTATTCAAGCTGGTCGGAGTTTAACTAAAATCGCAACACATTTTGGTCAGAAATTTGACCGATATGCCAATGCATGTCTTCATGCTTGCCTAGTAAAGTTCAAGGAAAAAAAAGTCTCCGTTGTCTCTGAGCTTCGAGCTGCTGCTATGGCCGCTATAAGATGTGTAATTCATATTATTTTTTTGAATCCTAAATAGCCTAATATTGTTCATATAGTGATTCGTTCTTGTCTATTTTCTACACGTTTAGGTCTTGATTATTAATGTATCATTATTTGTGAGGAAATATCTATGATAGATTTAAGGTTGTAAAGTTTTATCTTTAATCTGCAAAGATGTAATGATCACGAAATTTTCGTATTATTTATACTCAATATGCGTCGGCCTTGTTTATCAAAATAAGCATTACACTGTTTATCCATTTGCCTAAATTGAACTTTCTTTATTTTAATCTGATTTGTCAACGGCCCTATATTTGGTATTCCTTTACTGTTGGTTTAGTGATGGTCTTTTTTCATAATTGCTTTTTAGATACCCTTGGAAAGTGGTGTTGATATCTTATTGACTGGCCTTACTCATGCTAATCCGAGCGTTCGCTCTGAGTCATTGCTTCTGGTCAGAGAGTTGATGCTTTCAAATCAAGCTGAAGCGGAATCTTCTACTCGGACCCCGCAAACGAATGCTTCCTTACAACGGCTTAAACTGGTCCGACAACTTTTACCTCAGCTTATTAAACTTACGGAAGACCAGCATCCCGAATCTCGAGAAGCAGCTTTTAATGCTTTGGCAGGGATACAACTCTTTTTAGGCTCTAATCGCCTCTTTATCAAGGTGGTTTATTTTGCTTTTTCCATCGTTTAATGCCAAACTATCTTACGTTTATCATTAGTCCAACTTTCTGATGTACTCATTATGGTTATAAGGCTTGTGTTCATTTTCATCATAATAATCGTATATATAGAAATGTAGGTTTGTATGGGAGAATTGTATCAAGGAAAACCTGTCATTCAAAAGCTTGACACCTAAAACCTTTCACAAATAAGCATTAACAATTTTCGGGTTTCAATTTATCAATATAATTTGGCCCAAGTGAAATGCTATATTTTGTTTTATTTGTATATCGTCTGCATACCTCCAAAAATCTATTTACCCATAATTTTTGGAACTACTATCTGATATAAATACTATTTATGATGTAGTATGTCTATGGCTTTGAAAGTCCTTTTCATGGTTAATGCCATTTTAGTCTCCGATCCTGATATTTACAGAAATGGGTTGACCTTGTTGTCGCAACTTCGTCTTGTGCTCAGGGAGACTATGTAGAACGCACCTAGTCCGAAGTCGTCTGCCATAGTAGTTGTCTTGTTTCCCAGCATCAGACAGTGGACTTGATACATTCTCAAACGTTTCGCCGGCATCGTAATCGGCATCATCAGTGTGTTTTGTCATTCTCCGCACCAATATACGAACTCTTTAAAGAGACAAGTGAAGTCAATCCCTCAACAACCGTTCTGCTGGAAACGGTTACACTATCACTCCTGTCCTGGCTAGGTGCGTTCTACATAGTCTCCCTGAGCACAAGACCAAGTCGCGACAACGAGGTCAACCCACTTCTATAAATCGAAAGGAGACTGCGACCATAACAGAGGCCACAGCATCTTGGTCTTCATATCTTATATTTACAGTTCACAAAAAATTTGTATGATTCCTAAACAATCTGCACCATCGCTATAATCACTTGTATGTTAGTGGCTTGGTAGTCATATGTAAGCTGAATCATTTGACAGCACCTTTCTCCAGTATTGTCCACAATCGTCTAAGGTCTTACTCAGATTACTGTGTTATTGTAAGGATCAGTTCAGCACTCTTTTTTCGCTATGGCTCATGCTCGACTACGCTGCTTAATTTGGTTCCTTTATGATCGCGAGCACCTTAACTTTTTTTTAATATCTTATCTATTTTAGCAGTCACGCATTATTGATTTTATTTACTAGCGCTTATTCTATCTTCGCAGTGTGTCAGTAAAGCCATTTACCAAGAAAAGTAGATGTTTTTACATTTTTTCTCTTTCAGACTGTCTTATCCAATTTCGACGGGAATCCTGGCAAGCAATCCCGGTTGGAATTGGCTGTTAAGAGCCTTATGGAGGAGTCATCTAATGTACAACAGGTTGTCACATTTTCAACCAGGTCATCTTCAAGCAAACATGATTTTGGGAAACCAGTTTCGGTCACTACCTCCGAATGTGAGCTTTCAGTTTGATTCCTTAACTTATCCCATGATATCCCACAGTCATGTAAATTGGTGCAACTTGTCTAGACTTCCCTGCCATAGTATTCATGATAGTTTCCAACCTCAGACCTTGGAATTATATACTTTTAATGTTTACTATGAAAAGTCTTTGCTAAGTTACATTGGTAATCCTATCAATATCATTTAGCCTCTCTTCGATAATTGATCCTCTATTTTCTTTATTTCTATTCTTTTTTAACCTTTATATTTAAGCTTTAGACCAACCTTTAGAAATCTAATCTTTATACTATTTGCTCCAAAATTCCGGGCATCTGGTTTGAATAATCATGAGATATAATATCCTAAATTGTGCAAGATATTGCGGATTAATGTAACTGATCTTGCTGTTAATTTTCTATTTACTGACTCAAAAGCTGGACAAACTGATCTGGATGCACCTAAAGGGCGGATTATCTCGGTCTCTCAGACCCCGACCAATGAGCCAATCCCTGCCGGACCTTCTCATGCTACCTCTGTCCCTACTCGTCGAGTAGGTGCTATTATTTGCGAAGGAGGGAAGGCAACAACGGAAGCCACCGCTTTACAACGATTGGCTTATGAAGTGATTCGTGTTACTTCGTTCCCGCCGATCAACCTATCTCTGGAAGATGCGGATTCTATCTCAGCCGAGTAGGCAACGCCTTGCATTATACATCTTTACTCGAATCATTTTGTCGATACTAAGAGAGCCTTATCTTCAATAAAAGCGGCGACGGTCATATGAGTTCATTTGTATAATAAAATATCAATAGTATGTTTCTTTGGTTATTTTTTCAGAATGTCTTGAGGCATCTATACTGTCTATATTTAATGGACAAATAAAGGGTGTGCGAGTTATATGTTTTTGGAATCACCCAAACGTTGATATTTTTATTTTAAATTTCCTACAAATAATTATTTTCCCAATAGTTTTTTGATTCTCATTCTGTTAATTCAACTCAAACTGTACTACTACTTATCGACTGATCATTTAGCTTATTAATAAAAACACAATAGCATGTCATTTTGATTTTCAGATTTTGCCAACGTATTAATTGATTCATATCTTTTTAACATATTTCCTACTTACCATGGACGACGTAAAACGCCATTATATACTGGATTTTTTCGTACTCTTCTCTGACTTCGTGTTTGTGCGAAGTCGGTTTTGTGATTAAAAATATTTTCACTTGGTCCCTAGGGGTGACAATATAGTCTTAAAATACTCAATTTTATGTATAATAGCCATTCATTAGAGTTAGCGACTTTCTTTAAATGCCAAATTTGTGGCTGCTCTTTCTGTGCCTGGTTATTATTGTATACATTGGAAACTAACAATTTATACTCCGCTTTTAATTACTTCAACCTTTATTTGTGATTAATTACGCTTTTAAATCTTATTTCTTGCCTCAAATCGTCATTGTCAGTTGCTGAGTCCATATTTTTAATTGGGGTACGACAGACAGTGAAGCAGTCAAAGCCTATAAGATATGTAAATTTCTTTCCTATTACTTATTTACCCTGGGTTTCTCTTACTGATTTTGAGATTGATCGCCTCCGAATGCAGTCTTCCAGATAGTATTTTGCTACTACAATGCAAATAAGTTTCTGTTATGCGGAACTTTGTAATTGTCTTTTATCTATCAATCGTTATAGATAGAATTTCATACTCAATGCATTGTAGGCTCTCGGGATCCACTTCCTTTTGTTGTCGGATGGCTGACTTGGCTTTGTGTGAGGATGTGGAGCTCGGTGTAGTCATTATATGTTTAAAGTGTGAATAAAATCCTGTGCATGTAGGTGTATGTGGATCTTGATTGGACTGGATTATAGACAACAAAGCTGGTTAAAGATTATCAGCTTGAAATAATTCATTTACTTCTCAAGTCTCGAACTTTGCTGAGGAGGGTCAACCAAATGTAATGAAAGTTAGACTCGCTTTAGCAACGCTGCGGATTTAAACCGATTTAGTTAGAAAAGCTGATTCGCTGCAACCCGATTCTCACAAACTTTTCTTAAGCTTTCTTAACTATATTAAATCAATTTAATGTCTGTAAAATTAATTGATACGCTGAGTAACTGGGTTTCTATGAATCTCCTGAGATAACATTGTTAGTAGAACTTTCATCTAGTAGGAAAGTGCAGGAAGAAGAGACTCGTAGGTCGATCTCACCAGAAGGGGATGGCTTAATCCCGTTGTACTGCAACCGTTTGGCTTTCATACGATGTTCAGGTTGACGCAGTAAACGAGACCTAGCTTCGGGTGTAAACGAGCTTATCTTTCGTCCATCATATGATGAAAATCATCAGAGCCGGAACTCATTTTGCCCTAGTCAACGCTAGGGCAAGAAGACTATCCGGCACTAGCTTTCCTATTATATAGGCTTAATTA